ACGGAGCCACTAGGAAAAGCGCGGAGGCGGGGGGCGGGGCCTCGGCTATTACAGCCCATCAGCCTCTCCCCAGACCGGGCGGTCCCATCTGCCGCGGCCTCCGTCTCCCGGCCGGTAGCTGCCGAGGGCCTGGGACGCGCGTGACTCGTATCTGCAGGTGCCAAGGGTGTGCCACCACCTCGAAGCCGCGGCGCGGAAGGGGACGCCGCAGCCGCAGAGACAGTGCCCTCGCTTTCTCTTGGTTGTGATCGCGGTCTGCCCAGGAGACGCCCCGCGACCGGCGCGATGAGTGCCAACGAGGACCAGGAGGTGAGACCGCTGGACTAGACTCCCTCTCTCCGCGCACAGCGGAGTCCCGACCCCGACCGGGACGGCGCGCGCTGCCCGCACGTGCCTCTACAGACGTCCTGTCCTGTCCCTGGTGCCCCAAGTTTACCCCTGCCTTAAGAGGAGAGGCCAAGAGTGCATAGACATGGCTCCGCTTTTCTGCCTCCCGTCTCCTCGCTTTTTCGCGAACCTGGGGGGCGGGGGTCTCCCCAGATTTTCCCAGTGACGAGCATGAGTGTCCTCTGTACAGAACGCAGGTGCACTTTACCCCAGATCCCGTTTGTTTGCATTTGTGTAGCGAGTTATTTATCCTGGTTTGGAATCTGTCACCTTTAAATGTTAATATCCATTAGCTGGTAGAGAGGGTTCATTGAGTTAGTTAAATTTCTGGTGGAGGAAAACGACACTAGTGTGTCCGATTTCTGTCCATACTGTTCAGTGAAATCGTTTATTCTTTTGTTACTTGCCCAGCGAATACAACAGAGCCTATGTATACTCCTGAAGTATGCACTTTATGCTCCGATTTTTCTTGTGAAATGCCGTTTTGACGTTGAATCATGTCCTGTTAGAGTCAGAGAATGCTACGGATCCTGTGAAGGGGATCTGTCTAACTTCATCGTACCTGCAGAGATGAGGTTGTCGTTGGAGTCTGCAGGGGGAGTGGTGGTAGAATGGGGACTAGAACCCAAGTCTCCTTGAGTCGTAGCCCTGTAGTGTTCATTTAGAATATATTGCTTGAAAGTTTGTGCTTTACATGAGAGATGTAATAAACTCTCTGGATTGGAAGTTACCTTTAAAGGATTCAAGAGTCCAGAAAGCTTGTTGATACCTGACTCCTTTCTTAAAGTAAGTTTCCAAGCCCAGGCGTTCATAGTTCTGTCTCCATGCAGAGCACAGAGCATGTAGTATAACAGTACATCACCTTAAGACCATTTGGGTGGTGATTAGAAAAAGTTAGTTGCCTGCAGTCCACTCACCCAAAAATCTCCAAAAAAAAATCCATTCTTGTTTCATATGACTGATGTTCAAATATTTGAAGACAGCTTCTCATCCATTTTTTCAAACCTCTTCTCGGATGAAATGGTTCTTTTATGCTTTTTCATATATATTCCTTGTCTTTAGTTCCTTCACTATCCCAGAACGTGTCTGTGGAGAGATTCTAAGTTTATTTATGCTTTGTCTTAAACTGTAGTGTTACACTGTACACTGTTTCCTTTTTTTTTAGAGAGTTTTTTTTGTTTTGTTTTGTTTTGTTTTGTTTTGTTTTGCTATAGGGTGTGTGCGCTCACCAGAAAGAGCGAGACAGAAAGAGACGAATCACCCCCCAGGGGGGATGGCCACGCCACAGTCCCTTCTCCATTGTCCTCTCGGGATCTTGGACACACACACACACACACATACACACGCGCGTGCCCAGCGTGAATTTAAGCCACTGGGTCTGGGACTCGAACCGCAGTCGGCTACGTGGGAGTCCTGTGACATAGCCATTACGCCAACTGCTGGTCCCTGTTTCCTTTTTTTAAGGTTTATTTTATCTTTGACAAGTAACACATACATGCACACATGTGCACATGAGAGAGGAAGAAGCGTGTGTGGCAGGTTTGGTCGTGTTTGAACCTTTCCTGTTTCTCCAGCTCAGCAGGATCTTGGGCGGGTATGAACCCGAGGTTGCTTCACGTTGAGCCGGGCGGCAGGCGACCTTGTGTCCTCCAGCTCTGCCTTCAGTATGCTTGTGACTGCGCCACCTCCCTGTTTTCTACAGTTAGGTTTACGGACAACTAAAGCCCTCTAAGTGCGTTATACAAAGTGTTTTGTCATTTATGTTCTACTAGTACCGCTAAGCATCTGGCACAGTTCTTCTACTTTTTTTTTTTTAGAGAGAGATATTTGCTATAGGGTTTGTACACTCTGGAGAGACAGAGAGACAGAAAGTGAGAAATCACCCACCCTCCACCCCCCACCCCACCCCTGGCAGGGAGGTGGCCATGTCACAGTCCCTTCTCCTCCTTTCTCCTCTGGAATTTTGGGCATGCATGCACATGCACCTGACATGAGTTTTAAGCCGCCAGGTCCTGGACTTGAACCATGGTTGACTATGTGGCAGGTCCCCCTCTACTTACCATGTTAAATTTCATCTTTAGTTTGTTTTTTGAAGGGCTTTTTTGATTCTTACTCTGACATAGCATAGTTCACTACCCCATCAAATTATCATACACAAATTTAATAAACCTGCTTTCTAATTTTGTTCCTGTTCAAAGTCCTTAATTAAAATATGGGAAAGGATTAAGGACAGAAGAAGTAACACAGTACTGGGGCCAGCAGATTGCCATGGTGGTTAAGGTGCTAGATTCTCAGAAGGCCAACGGTGGTTTGAGCCCTGAACTCGCACCAGGCGTGTGTGCATGGGTGCTCAAAATTCTGCGAGGAAAATGAGCAGAAGGGATTGTGTCATGGCCGTCCCTGTTGAGGGGTGATGTCTCACTTTCTCTCTCTTTGGTGAGTGTACTCACCCTATGGCAAAAGCCTAAAAAAAATTTAACACAGTATTTTGACTAAGGTTGTTCGTTCCAGTCTAATCTTCCTAGTTATGTTTGAATTTAATTTGAATTTCTTTCTTTTTTTTTCTGTAAAAATGGCAAGAGAAACTTAAAAAGCCTTCCAGAAAACTAAATACACTTTTTCATGCCTTCCCCAAAGTGACAATGAAATTCCCGTAAGTTGAGGGCCAGCAGATGGCATACAGGTTAGTTGCTGGACTCCCACATGACCTACTGCTGTTGGAGTTTCAGACCTGGTGGCTTGAAATTCACACCAGGTGCATATGCATGTGTCCCAAGATTCTGGGAGGAAAATGGAGGAGAGGAATTGCGACATGGCCAACCCCTTGGGGAGTGATGTCTCACTTTCCCTCTCACTATCTCTGTCTCTGTCTATCTCTCTCAGGCAAGCTCATGTGTCCTAAGGCAAAAACCTCTACCAAAAAAAAAAAAAAAAATCACCCTAAGTTATTTAGATATATATACAGTTGTCTCTCGCTATCCACAGGGATTGGTTCCAGGATGTCCTGGGATACTCAAATTCAAAATGTACAAATGCTGAAGTCCCTTATATAAAATGGTGAGGTATTTTTCCATAACCTTTACCCATTCTCCTATATATGTAAATTTTTTTTTTATTCATGGTAGAGTATGTGTGTGTGTGCACATGAGAGAGAAATGAGCCCTCAGCACAGGTTCGGACCACGACGGGATCCCTTTCCTCCATCTCCTGCCCGTCAACTCTTCCACACTCACATGGTTTTAAGGTGACCAGGCCTAGGATTGAATTGTGGTCACCATGTAGAACCCAGCTTCACTCAGGCAGCTTGTTAGTGCTGATCTCCAGCTTCTCCATTATACTTTAAATCATCTCTAGATAATATTTGATACAATGTAAATGCTATGTAATAGTTGTTATACTATATTGTCTAGGAAATAATGACAAGGAAAAAAGTCTCCGTATTCAGTTCTGTCTCTCTCTGTCTTTCTGGCGAATGAACGCACCCTATAGCAAAAACCTCTCCATAAAAACAAAAACAAAAACAAACCAATTTTTTTAAAAAGATTTTTGCCAGGGCTGGCAGGTGGCATGGTGGTTAAGGGCATTAGATTCCCACATGACTGACCATGGTTCGACTTCTGGACCTGGTGGCTTGCTTCCTCACTTTCCCTTTCTCTCTGTTTCTCTCGCTCTCTCTCTGTCTCTCTCTCTCACTCTGCCCCTCTGGTCACATTAAAATAAATGAATAAATAAAGTTAAATAAAATAATTCTTTTTTTTTTAAAGGAGGTTTTGAAACCAGCATTTGGCTTAATGGCTATGTCACTGGACTCCCATGTAGTTGACTGCGGTTCGAGACCTGGACTCGGTGGCTTAAACTCACACTGGGTGCGTGTGTGCCCAAGATCCCAAGAGGAGAATGGAGGAGAAGGGATTGCAGCATGGCCATCCTCCCCAGGGGTGATTTCTTGCTTTCTGTCTCTGCTTCTCTCTCTGTCTTTCTGGCGAGTGCACATGCCCTATAGCAAAAACCTCTCCAAAAATAAAAAAAGAGGTTTTTGCCTTAGGATGCATGCACTGGGAAGGAGAGCAACAGAGACCGTGAGAAGGAAAGTAAGAAATCACCCCCTGGGGGGATGGCCATGCCACAATCTCTTCTCCTCCTGGGATCTTGGGCACACATGCATATGTGCCCACAGTATTTTGACTAAGGTTGTTCGTTCCAGTCTAATCTTCCTAGTTATGTTTGAATTTAATTTGAATTTCTTTCTTTTTTTTTCTGTAAAAATGGCAAGAGAAACTTAAAAAGCCTTCCAGAAAACTAAATACACTTTTTCATGCCTTCCCCAAAGTGACAATGAAATTCCCGTAAGTTGAGGGCCAGCAGATGGCATACAGGTTAGTTGCTGGACTCCCACATGACCTACTGCTGTTGGAGTTTCAGACCTGGTGGCTTGAAATTCACACCAGGTGCATATGCATGTGTCCCAAGATTCTGGGAGGAAAATGGAGGAGAGGAATTGCGACATGGCCAACCCCTTGGGGAGTGATGTCTCACTTTCCCTCTCACTATCTCTGTCTCTGTCTATCTCTCTCAGGCAAGCTCATGTGTCCTAAGGCAAAAACCTCTACCAAAAAAAAAAAAAAAATCACCCTAAGTTATTTAGATATATATACAGTTGTCTCTCGCTATCCACAGGGATTGGTTCCAGGATGTCCTGGGATACTCAAATTCAAAATGTACAAATGCTGAAGTCCCTTATATAAAATGGTGAGGTATTTTTCCATAACCTTTACCCATTCTCCTATATATGTAAATTTTTTTTTTATTCATGGTAGAGTATGTGTGTGTGTGCACATGAGAGAGAAATGAGCCCTCAGCACAGGTTCGGACCACGACGGGATCCCTTTCCTCCATCTCCTGCCCGTCAACTCTTCCACACTCACATGGTTTTAAGGTGACCAGGCCTAGGATTGAATTGTGGTCACCATGTAGAACCCAGCTTCACTCAGGCAGCTTGTTAGTGCTGATCTCCAGCTTCTCCATTATACTTTAAATCATCTCTAGATAATATTTGATACAATGTAAATGCTATGTAATAGTTGTTATACTATATTGTCTAGGAAATAATGACAAGGAAAAAAGTCTCCGTATTCAGTTCTGTCTCTCTCTGTCTTTCTGGCGAATGAACGCACCCTATAGCAAAAACCTCTCCATAAAAACAAAAACAAAAACAAACCAATTTTTTTAAAAAGATTTTTGCCAGGGCTGGCAGGTGGCATGGTGGTTAAGGGCATTAGATTCCCACATGACTGACCATGGTTCGACTTCTGGACCTGGTGGCTTGCTTCCTCACTTTCCCTTTCTCTCTGTTTCTCTCGCTCTCTCTCTGTCTCTCTCTCTCACTCTGCCCCTCTGGTCACATTAAAATAAATGAATAAATAAAGTTAAATAAAATAATTCTTTTTTTTTTAAAGGAGGTTTTGAAACCAGCATTTGGCTTAATGGCTATGTCACTGGACTCCCATGTAGTTGACTGCGGTTCGAGACCTGGACTCGGTGGCTTAAACTCACACTGGGTGCGTGTGTGCCCAAGATCCCAAGAGGAGAATGGAGGAGAAGGGATTGCAGCATGGCCATCCTCCCCAGGGGTGATTTCTTGCTTTCTGTCTCTGCTTCTCTCTCTGTCTTTCTGGCGAGTGCACATGCCCTATAGCAAAAACCTCTCCAAAAATAAAAAAAGAGGTTTTTGCCTTAGGATGCATGCACTGGGAAGGAGAGCAACAGAGACCGTGAGAAGGAAAGTAAGAAATCACCCCCTGGGGGGATGGCCATGCCACAATCTCTTCTCCTCCTGGGATCTTGGGCACACATGCATATGTGCCCAGTGTGAGTTTCGAGCCACTAGGTCCAGGACACTAACCACAGTTGGCCATGTGGGAGTCCAGCCACATAACTGCTACGCCATCTGCTGGTTTTGATCTGCAATTGGCTGAATCTGTGTTTGTGGAATCCATGAATATGTGAGGCCAACTGTCTCTTTTTTAAAAATTTAAGTTTACTTACCTGTTTTTTGCCATGAGCAAGATATGTATATATAGAGAGATAGGCAAAGAGACAGTACCCCAACAAGGTCCCGCCGCTGCAGTGCACCCTCATTGTAGCCAGCCAGATCATAGGCACACAAGTGCCTGATATGCTGGTAGGGCTCCGGGCTTGATCCAACCTTCCCATGTGGGTCGGCATCACAGGTCTGTATGTTACTGCTTTGGCACGTAATTTTTTTTTTTTTGGAGAGGTTTTCACTGTAGGGTGCGTGCGCTCGCCAGAAAGACGGAGATAGACAGACAGAAAGCGAGAAATCACCCCTGAGGGGGGATGGCCACGCCACAATCCCTTCTCCTCCATTCTCCTCTTGTGATCTTGGGCACGCACACGCGCCTGACGTGAGTTTAAGCCACCGGGTCCGGAACTCGAACCGCGGTGGACTACATGGGAATTTAGCAACATAGCCATTACTCTAACTGCTGGTCCCCCCGGTACGTAATTTTGAAGTAAATATTATCATTAGTAGCAGTATTATAATATGTTGTTTCAAGCATGTATACTATAGGCACCTAAGGTCTTGTAAATTAGCCAAGTTTCACATAGGCAGGTGGGCTCAAATTGGAAACTAAATACCTTTCATTGAACCTATTTATACCACTAAACAGAGATCGTTGAATTCTTTTATTTCAGATGGAACTAGAGGCATTACGTTCTATTTATGAAGGAGATGAAAGTTTCCGGGAATTAAGTCCAGTGTCCTTTCAGTATCGGGTAAGACGTGGCACAAATAGGAGCCGTACCACTGCGGGAAAAGGCTTTAGATTTCCAAAAATGCTTATTTTGTTTTTTAAACTCAGTAATTTATATTTATTATGACTTTGCATTTTCCAAAGCATTTAAGTGAGGACTCATCACCTTGACCTCATTTTTTAACATTTGAAAAGTTAATAGAGAAACATTTTAACAACCAGGATAAACTTGTTCTCACACAGAATCATAAAATATTAGTAATGCATGAGACCTTAGGAATTATATAACTTCATCTCTCTTTTTTATTTTTTTTTAAAGAGAGATTTTTGCTACAAGGCACATATGCTCGCCAGAGAGATAGAAAAACCCCCTGGGAGGATGACCGCACTGCAGTCCCTTCTCCATTCTCCTCTAGGGATTTTGGGTACACACACACACACATATGCAGTTGCCATGAGTTTTAATATGCCGAGTCCAGGACTTGAACCATAGTCAGCTACGTGGGAATTTAGTGACATAACCATTACACCATCTGCTGGTCCCAATTTCATCTAATTTTAAAGATAACTTCTTCAGTGATATCTTCCTAAGCTCCCAAGCTTGTTCCGATAATATTAGAATTAAAGTTGAGCTCTCTATTCTATATCTAGTATTCTTTTTCCCCTACCCTGTGCTATGGACAAGAAAAGTTGGTATTTCCTTGATTCTGTGCTCTAAATATGTATGTGTACTTTTTTTAATGTATGTGAAAGATGGATTTTTAGGAGTAGCTTCTAACTCTGTCTTCAACAGGAAATGGTTACCAGTATTTTATTTTGTAAATGATGATACGAATCCTTTATTACAAATGTTGCAAGTAGTAGTAAAATAGAAAAAAAAATTTTGTAGCAGATTTTTGGTTATCATTAGCACTGTCCCATTTAAAATAAGTTATATGAGAGATGATCTTTACACATGACTTTTTGTAGACTAGCACAGGGAATCCATTCTTTAAAGTTACTTCGTTTGGGAACTCTCCTCCCTGCTCCATCCTTCTCGATTCCCTCTCAAGCGTAACAATTTATACCATCCCTGTGTGTGACAGTTGGGACTTAAATGGTCAAAGTTAATGATAGAGTTAAGTCCTAGGCCCTGTGTCCAAGTCCATCTTCCTCCTCAGACTTTCCCAAATACGCCATCTCTCCTTAGCAGGTGGGAGACTGGAGAATTTCCTTATGCCTCTCACACGTGTCTATTAACAACGGCAGTTATTTATTGAGTGCAGTATACAGAATGATGTAGAACGTGCATGTGTACTACGGCACGGACACTTGGATGTGACCCACAGGCTGGAGTTAAAAGCAGTGAAACATGAGAGTAAGAGACAGTGTGCTGGGACCAGCAGGTGGTGTGGTGGTTAAGGTGCTGGATCCCATGGCTTACTGTGTGGCTAGAGTCCCAGACCTGGTGGCTTGAAAAATCTCACTGGGCACGTATGTGTGTGTGCCTAAAATCCTGAGAAGAGAATGGAGGAGAAAGGACTGTGGTGTGGCCATCCCCCTAGGGGTGATTTCTTTATCTCTCTCTTATCTGGTGAGCACACCTGCCCTATAGGAAAAACTAAAAAAATAAATAAGAGAGAGAGAGGGAGAGGCAATATGCTGACAGTCATAGGACCTAGCTTAGAGTCCTGCCTTTGTCCTAGTCAGACCCCTCAGGTTTTTTTGTTTTTAATTGTCATTTCTAATTTTATAGCTGTACAGGGGGTATGGTATAGTTTTTCCAAACATGAATACATTGTGTAATGATCAAGTCAGGGCAGTGAACATACCTACCGTCTCCAGTATTTATCACTACTTGGTGTTGTGCATGTTCAAAACCCTTTTTTCTAGTTATTTCGAAATACATATTGAACTGTCACCATCTTTACTGTGCTGTAGTACTCTGAGCCCCATTCCACTCGTTGACATACATTTTTGAATCTGTTAGCCCTCTTCTCCCCATGCCCCTGTCTTTCCAGCTTCTGGTATTCCCTGGTACTCTATTTCTATGAAATTGGACCCTTCAGTTCTTACACAGAATGGTTTAGTAGCCTCCTAAATGCCTTTCCTGTTTTCATGTCTATCTTCAAAGTCCCCTCGTACTCAACCATTAGTCCTCCGACAGACTACTAGTAAGCTCTCTGAGACACTTAAGTACTCATTCTGTCCCCTTGTTTAAAAAGGCTTCTCCTGGACCAACTGGCGGCCTGGTGGTTAAGGTGCTCGATTCCCACATGGCAGACCATGATTCAAGTTCTAGACCCAGAGGCTTGAAAATCATGCCGGGCACATGTGCGTGCACACCCAAAATCCCGAGAGGAGAATGGAGGAGCATGGTTGTGGTATAGCCACTCTCCCCCTCCCCCACTGATCTCTTTCCAGCAAGTGCACACGCCCTATGAAGCATAATGGATTTTTGAATATTTTCCTACATTTTCAAAAAGTGCTGTCCCTTTTCGGATACACTGCCCGTTTGTTCCCTTACCCCTCATTCATTATCCATCCTGCTGCTGTGTTAAGGTCATCTTCCAACCTCCACTGTGTTGTATTTGGGCCATGTCTCCTATGTCTGCCGTGACTTTGAGGCAGAATTAATTATTCTTCATTTATTCATAGTTTGTTCTGTTACTCTTATTTTTATTTTTTAATTTTTGCCAGAGGGCACATGCGCTTGCCAGTGGGGCAGAGAGAGAAAGAGAGAGAGAGAATGAAAGCACCCCGTCTCCAGTGGGGCATGGTGACACTTCAGTCATTTCTCTGTCTCTCCTTTTGGGATTTTGGACATGCACACATACTCACCCAGCATGTTTCTCTGGGACTCAAACCGCTCATCAACTATATGGTATCTGGCCATCTTAACAACCACGCTATGGTCTGGCCCCATTCCACCACTTTTTTTTTTTTTTAGAAGTTTTTGCCATAGGGCACATGCACGCGCCAGACAGACAGAGACAGAGAGACAGAAAGCGGGAAATCCCCCCCCGGGGGGATGGCCACGCCACAATCCCTTCTCCTCCATTCTCCTCTCGGGATCTTGGGCACACACGCACATGTGCTTGGGGTGGGATTTAAGCCACCAGGTCCGGGACTTGAACTGCAGTTGACTACATGGGAGTCCAGCAACATAGCCATTACGCCAACTGCTGGTCTCCCCATTCCACCACTTTTAAACTACTATTCACATTATAGTTTAGTGAGTCATCTAAAGACCTCTCTCCCTTGAAGATAGGAATGGCCTTGTCTCTATCTTTGCATCAGTACCTAGCATGAATTAGGTAACTTTTATTATTTTTAAATTATCTCTGTATTTAAAATCCAGACATAAACTAATGACTTTCTTCATTCAGATAATCAAGTTACATAGACATGTCAACAGATCCTAACTTTCTTTGATATGATTTCTCAGCCTTGCCTTATATTGGTACAGAATGTGATTGGAGTGAATAAATAGGTATGAAAAATTAGTGGTCAGAAAATAAAGATCAAGCAAGTCATAATTTTCATAATTTGGGGTAAAAAAGTTTAAGTCCATACTGAATCTCTGCTCTAAACCCCATCTAACAGACCCCAAAAAAGCTCAGACAGGGTCATAGAAATCCTCAACCCTTACTGAACCTGCTGCCCAAAGGAAGAAACTCCTCTTTATAAATCTGAACTCAAAATATCTTTCTATGGATACTACATTGCAAAACACAGTAAAGGAGAGAAATTGTCACAGAAGTACCTTAAAGTACAGTAAAGGGAAGCATATGACCTTACAGTTGCAGAAACCTTCTCTACGCAATTAGCCAAAAATGAATACACCACCACATGACTAAAATTCAGAGAAGAGAGACTTTAGAGTGAGCAGCAGGGAGAATTACAGAGCTGCAGAGAGACTGTGGCTCATCTCCTCCCACATGCCTCTGAACTCTCACTTGAAACCTGGAGCTCGTTCCAGGTGTACCTGTTCCCTAGAATCTGTGAGGCCTTTGTAATATCCACTTCCAAAGTTAAAAACACAGATTGCTTGGTGAGCATCAGGGAAACGGAACTCCAGAGATTGTGGATCACCTCTTCCTGCACACCTCTGAACACTCAGAATTAACTCCCAGAAATTAGGAAGAAACGTATAATCCATCAGATGACCAGAAACCACAAGAAATGAGAAACCAAGAAAATATCTCTCCCCCAAGGGAAAAGAATAACCCTTCATCATCCACAGATAATACAATGGAGCTTGTGGAAATGTCCAATAAAGAATTCAGAATATTCATAGTGACAAAATTAAATGAGATGCACGAGATGAGAGTCAATGAACTCCAGAAGATGCAAGAGAAAAGAGACAATGAGTTCCAGGAGATGAGGAAGTTCTTTCTGATTTGAAAAAGTACACACTATAAAAAAGAATCAAATGGAGCTATTAGAGATAAAAGTTGTAATACAAGAAATCAAGACCTCCCTCGAAAGTATTAAAAGCAGATTAGATCATGCAAAAGATCAAATCTTGGATGTTAAAGTCAAAATCTCTGACCTAGGAAAAAATCACCAAAAAGACTGACAAAATAACCCCCCAAATGAGCATGGCTATCGCCCCCTCCCCCCCGTTGGAGATGGGGGTGATTTCTCACTGTCTCTCTCTCTCTTGTGAATGCACATGCCCTTTTACAAAAACCTTCAAAAAAAAAAAAAAATAGCCCCTGCTCGTACCCTGCACACCTGACATTTTCAGAATGCTACCTTTCCAATCCAAGCCTGAGTATTGGAAATAATTCATTATTTTGGAGATTATAACTTAGAACTCTTTTGTTGTTGTTTTAATCACTTTTACAAGCCTAAGATTTCCCTTTTCTTCAGATAGGTGAAAATGGTGATCCCAAAGCCTTCTTAATAGAGATTTCCTGGACAGAAACATATCCCCAGACACCTCCAATTATATCTATGAATGCTTTTTTTAACAACACCATGTGAGTAGTGTTTCATTTTCACTGTTTTTCCCATCTCTCCCTCCGTTTTACTTTTCTCTCAGCAATGTGTTTGTTGTGCATTGTAGATCGTCTGCGGTAAAGCAGAGCATCTTAGCCAAGTTACAGGAGGCAGTAGAGGTTAACCTGGGAACCGCGATGACCTACACGTTGTTCGAATATGCCAAGGACAACAAAGAGCAGTTCATGGAGAACCACCATCCCGTCCATTCTACAGTGAGTATGTGATTTTTCTTTTTTTGCCATATTTTTTTTTTCTTTTGTTCTGCTTGTAATTAATTTTTAGTTCAGATAATTAATACATTTCAAAAATGGGAAGGAAACTTTGTGTCGGATTATAGATTAGAGTTACGTTGTTAAATAAAAACGATGAGTTTAGATTTCTTAGATTTTAGATTTCTGTGTAGCCTAAAGAATGAAATTATATTCTGTAAATTTTGACCTTTCATTAAAGACTAATAGAATACTTTAGCTCACCATAATTGAGTTATTGTAGAACCTACATTTTTTAAAATTTACTTAATTTCTTTATAATGTTTAGCTGGCTAAAGGATGTCCTGTGTAGTGCTAAAACGTGTATGAAATTGCTTTCTACATGAGGCTTATCTTGTTCAATTGAAGGTATTGCAACTTAAAGAGACTTTACTGAATACAAAAAAGTGGTTGTTTAATTTTTAAAATAATTGTAGGAAATAATCTTTTAGGACCTTAAGCACCTATGTATAAGACCTCTTTGTAGCAAGTAATAAACCGGAAGCATTTCAGTGATCATTGTTAATTGAGTTTTGTCTTGCAAACCAAATTTTTGGCACAGAGGCTGTCTTCTATTTGAGTAGTCCTGGCTTCCACATTCCAAATGAGACACAAGGAGGGATGCTGAGAGGCAGCCAGAGGGACAGTAGAGGTGGTAGCCAAGGTCATAGACTGCAGGGCAGACCACCTGAGTTCAGTTCCTCACTGTACCACTTTCTTTTGCCATAGGGCACATGCACTTGCTGGAGAGAGACAGAGAGAGGGAAAGTGAACAATCACCACCCCCCAGAGGGATGACCACACTTCAATCCCTTCTCCTTCATTTTCTTCTCGGGATTTTGGGCATGCATACACATGCACCTGGCATGATTTTTAAGCTGCTGGGTCCAGGACTTGAGCTACATTTGGCCATGTGGGATTTCATGCCTTAACTACCATGCCACCTGCTGGCCCTACCACTTTTTTTTTTTTTTAAAGTCTGTCCATTCCTTGAGATAGACACCTTCCTTGACAGTGTCTCACCACAGTCCAAGCCCAGCCTCCCAGCCAGGATCACGGGCACACCTGATATGAACGTTCAGGTCGACCCAGGATTTGAACCTGCACCACCTTATGACTCTAGAATCTCACGTCAACGCACATCTGGGTGGGCCACTGTGGCTGGGTCACCGCACCGCTTGTTAACTGTGTGATTCTGGGCAAATTTTTAAACCTGTGCTCAGTTTCTTGTCTGTTAAAGTGGAGATTATAAGATCTACCTTAAAAGATTGTGATAAGGGAGTCAGCAGGTGGCATGATAGTTAAGGTGCTGGATTCCCACATGGTTGACTGCAGTTCGAGTCCTGGACCTGGCGACTTAAAAATCATGTCAGATGCATGTGCACGCATGCCCAAAATCGTAGGAGGAGAATGGAAGAAAAGGGATTGTGGCATGGCCATCGGGGGGTGATTTTTCAATTTCCCTCCCTCTCTGTCTAGTGAGCACACATACCCTATGGCAAAAACATTTAAAAAAAAAAAAAAGATATGGTAAGAATCAAATGAATGATATGTATGAAACATTTATGTTAATGCTTGGCACCTAGGAAGCATTTTAAATTTTAATTATCATGAACACTGTTTACATGAACCCAGATGTTTTAAAGAGTCTCTTCAGGGAACCAGAGTGTCCTAGGTAGGTACATGTAATTCCTCTAAAGGCACTTTTAAATTTGCAAAACTATAGCAAGTTAGCTTGCTATATTTTGAGTTGCAGAACTGCCTTGAAACCTCTGATCTTCAGCATAATGCTATACCACACCTCCCATCCCAAGGTTCCAGTTTTAACAATTACACTGATTTTATTTCCTTCATGTGAACTTTCAGAAGAGGGAAACCAATAATGTCTTCAGGGCACTGGTTTAATATATGAAAAATAATAGTATAAGATTCATTTATTTCATAAGTCTAACAATCATCAGCCCATTCTAGGGTCTAGTTATATTTAGTATATTTCAAAATATTTTATGGCATGAGACTAAAATTATTTTTTTCCCTAGACATCCACAAGCAATATTATCTCAGTTGAGACTCCTAATACAGCCCCAAGTAAGAAAAAAGACAAAAAAGAACAACTTTCAAAAGCCCAGAAACGGAAGCTGGCAGATAAAACAGGTTTGTGCTATTTTTTTTTTTTTTTTCCTTTTTAAACACAGACAGATGGATTGCTTTTAGTGCGATATGGATGCTTAATTAATAGATTTAGGTTGAGAGCTTTGTATTCTTAGAACATTTGGATCAGAGACCCCTTGGGTCACAGGCATATATTGAAAATGTTACCTCTTCATCACGAAAGGTAGCCATGTGACAAGAAGGACACTGAGTGGTGAAGTAACGATCACCATGCCGTGACCATGAGAGATGTTATAGTGCACTTGTGCACTCCAGCATCTTCGGGATTGTCCTGTCTGTTTACTTCAATAGTATAATTTTTTTCCCCTTTTTTAAAATTGTTTCTAGTTTGCCGTAGGGTACATATGCTAACTGGAGAGAGAGAGAGAGTAAGAAAACACCTGTTAGTGGGGACATGGTCCCAACACAACCCCTTCTCTATTCCCTTCTTGGGATTTTGAGCATGCATGCACACTCACCCAGTGTGATTTTTCAAGCCCCAAGGTCCAGGACTTGAACTATGCACTTGGCCATGTGGGGTCCTGCGTCTTAACCCATACCACCTAGCTGGCCCTATTAATTTTTTTTTTTTAGTATGGGTTTTATTTGAAATGAAGTCAGGCATACCATTAGGTCTTAGCACAATGAATAATGTTTTTGTCTGTGACTTATTTATATAGCAACCATAAATTTAAGAATACAATTTCGGTGTATCCTAAACCAGAATCCTTTAGAAGAAGATTATAAACTCCAACTCATACCAGCAATAATACTTGATCTCTTTGTTTAATCTAAACATGTTTGAATTGATATCAGTCTATAAATGTTTTCCCGGTTATGGAAAATGAGGACATTTCGTACATACCATGTGTGGACTTGGACATTTATTTACGTATGTGTTTGTGTGCTCCTGGTGAAGGTTACAAGCTGCCCTTTACTGAGAAGAGCTGGCTTTTTATTTTGATAAGGGGGTTTTAAATCCACTTTATTTCATCACGAGATGGCAGTCTTAAGTGGTCTGGGTTTTGTTAACGTCTGTCTGTAGCAGAACAAAAAGAAAGCAAGGAACTTTGAGTTAGTCTCTAAAATTGTGATGCCTTATGAAATTAACAAAATAAAGGGATCCATTTTACGTAATGTCAAAGCAGCATTAAAATATAACAGCGAGGGCCAGCCAACCTGTAGCGTGGTAGTTAAGGAGGTGGATCCCACATGGCTGACTGTGTATTTTGAGTCTGGACCCAGTGGCTTGAGGAACAAGCCGAGCGTGTGTGTCCATATCAAAATGCAGGAGAGATGGAGGAGCCCAGATCGCAGTGCGATCATGCCCATGCAGCCTCTGGCAAAATAACGTAAAGTAAAGTAAAATAAAATACAGTTGAAGCAGTAAATTAAAAGTTACAGTCTGTTTCTAGAATTTTGGTTAATCCCTTCTTGGAATGTTATATTTATGACAGTTAACCTGCTGCTTTTGTTTATACTAAAATTACACGTGAGCATTCCCTTCCGTTTCTGTGTCCCTGCCTCCATCTCCTTGGTAATGCCTACCTAGTGATGGTCTTCTTGTAATGAGAGCATAGGAGTTGTGACTTAAAGCTTTCATTGTAAATTAAACCGTAACAACAGTCACGCCAATGTGGATAAATTTTAGTTAACAAAAATTGGGGATCTGCTCGCATGCCCCTCATAATCAATAACCAATAGGGTAAGATTCTTATTGGCATGAAAAAGATAAGAGCCAAGAGCATCTATTAGGTTGTCAGGAAAGTCATGACATATTTTTCTGTGCAAAAATGAGCCATGACTTTCCTGACAACCCAATGAAATTGAGTTCCAATAATATTACTTATTTCCTTTAAAAATTATGGGATGAGTTCCTGTCTCCCTTGCTATAAAATTAATACAGTAGACTTGTTTTGACTGCAGATTTTGAAGATTTTATAAAAAGAGATGTAGCATATATCAGACAGAAAAGAAATGAAGCCATTTTAAAATTGAAGAAATTCAGAGCCCCCAGGTGGCATTGTGGTTAAGGCACTGGGCTCCCACTTGGCTGACCATGGTTTGTCCCAGACCTGGTAGCTTGCTTTCTCACCTCCCTCCTCTGTCTCTCTCTGATGAGTGTGGGTGCCCTGTAGCAATTAAAAAAAAAAAAAAAAAAGATAAATAAAATTAAATAATTCTTTTTAAAAAATAATTAAAAAAAAATTCAAAGTAGTTTTGTTTATGTGTTTCTTCCATGAGTGAGAGAGACAGACAACACTCCCAACAGGGTCCCGATGCCACCATCTACCTCCAGGCTCAGCCAGCCCCAGATCTTGGTTTACGTGCATGTCTAGAGCACCCAGGAAGGTCTCCACATGCAAACCTGGAACCTTTCCATGTGGACCAGCCCTGCAGTGTCATGTTCTACCACCCTGCCATTGCCTGGTCCACTACTGATTTATTGTTATACTATTCTTTAAACTTGGATATTCTGTTAAAAGAACAAAAGCACTTTTTGAATATGAATTCTACAAATTCTTGTGAGCTTGAGTTCAGGCACTCCCAACAGATTAGCTCCTTTTAAAGTTTGTTCAATTAAACCATGAATATTTGATCAGAGCATAGCAATTAATATATGTTAACCAGTCTTCCTCCTACTCTTGAAGCTAAACTACTTATTTATTTTTAAAGAATTATTTAATTTTATTTATTATTATTATTTAAAATTTGCTGTAGGATGTATGCATTGACCAGAGGGGGACAGAGAGAGAAAGTGAGAAAGCAAGCTGCCAAGTCCGACACACACTGTGGCCAGCCTCGTGGGAGTCCAGTGCCTCAACTACCACACCACCTACTGCCCCCAAAGGTTTATTTATTAGGGCCTTCTGTCTCAAGCCTAGCTTCCTAGTGGAAAATGCTAGATCACTAACTGTGAACTGGCACAACTCTTCACTTAAATATTATCGGCGACCTCATGTAAAGCAGTAGAATTGTGCAAATGCATGAAACTAATCAATTGATTAGCTCTTCATGGGATTACCACCCCACCTTTGTATTTTTTCCTTGAAATCAGGTGAGTTTTTTTTAGGTTTTTGCCATAGGTCTTACCCAAGAAAGACAGAAAGAAAGTGAGGAACCACCCTCCCAGAGGGGAGGCCATGCCACAGTCCCTGCTCCATTCTCCTCTCTGGATTTTGGGCATACACATGCACATGCCTGGCACGATATTCAAGCTGCCAGGCCTGGGACTCAAATCCCCATCGAGCATGTGGGAATCTAGCACCTTGATTACCATGCCCCTCGCTGGCCTTGGATTCAGATTTTATCTCAATGGAAATAGGTTACATGTAAAAAGGGAATCTACCGGAAGTACTTTGCAGTTATCTCCCTAAGGGTGCCTTCAGTTCCCAATGAGGAAAAGCCTTTTTTCCAACTTAGTACTATGTTAGTCACATGTTTAATCTATCTGTTGTATGTAAGAGTACATGAAACCTCATGTATTCATTAGAATATTCATTGAAAACTAGTCGATTGGTCTTAGAAGTGATTTTTATCCTCTAGATCACAAAGGGGAACTTCCTCGAGGCTGGAACTGGGTTGATGTCGTGAAGGTATGTAAATTATACATTCATATACTAGTCTTCAAAATTGTTGTACTTGTTGCCATCAAATAATCAAATGTATATTTTCCATTGCCTCCACCTTCCCCCTGCCACTTTGGAAATTCGCCGGAAAATCTGTTTCCTTTGCTGCCTTCAGCACGTAAGTATTTTCGAAGTACCCTTCATATTCTTCTCTTCCTTTCACCCTCAGTTGTAGATACTGTTGTTTTTTTTTTTAAATAACAGAAGATCTGCAGAATAATTTATAACTACAGTAAAGCATGACTATTTATGTAAGTACATCCTTAGAGTAGACATCTTTAAGTATATCTTTACGTTATCAATAATATGGAAACTGAAGAAAATCAGTTATGAAAAGGAATGCTTTAACTTCTTAGTACATTAATTAATAAAAATTCATTAGTAAATTAATAAAAAATAATTTTTTAAGGGCAACCCTTAAATGTAGTTGCTTATCATTACCGAGGAAGATTTTCTGTGTTTGTTGTTTAAAGTTGTTTACTTTCCATTTTTCTTCTGACTCCATTTAGTGGGTTTTTTGTTTTGTTTTTGCATTATCTGTAGTTTCAGATATTGTGTTGGTTCCCTTTGTAGGACTTCACGAACTAACTTTTGCATGCCAGTTCATGCCACGACTGCCGTGAGAAGTCTTTAACATAAGCCAAGGGTAAATGTTAGGGTTTTAGTGAGGACCCGCCAGCGGTGTAATCGTAATGTTTATTTTAAAGTCAGCTGTTGGTTCTATGGGATGCATTTTCTATAGCAACTGTGTAAAGTAATCTGTATGTTTCTAGAACCTAGTACAAAAATACTACCTGGGAGTAGGGAGCCATGAGGTGTGGTAGGAATCAGTAAGCACAGTCATTCCTCCTCGGGCTGGAAGCCGGCCCTGTACAAGGTGCCTGAGCTTCTCTGACATTTTCTCACTGACCTGGGCCCCTCTCCACTGATGCTTGATAGAGACTGCGTGTTGTCCTAGGTGCGCCCACAGGTAGCCCTCCAGGCCAGTCTTTCTCAGAATGCTCTGTGCGCCAGAGGAGCCATTTCCTGGCTCAGAATGTTGTTCCTCTGAGCACAGCAGATCTCAACTGGAAGTGAGAACAGATATAGAAATAACCTGACAGATTGAAAGGTGCTAACAGTGCTCCTCTTTCACTAGCTCCAGAAGTTTCTTGTTTTCAAGAGAGTCCCTCTTAATTTAAATAGAATTCCAAGTTGTGAAAAAAAAGAAAGGGCCAGCTTGTGGCATGGTGGTTAAAGCAGCTGAATCCCACACGGCCGATGCAGTGTTTGAGTCCCAAATCCGGTGACTTGAGAAACACTGCAGGTAGGGACCAGCACTTAGCGTAATGGCTATGACCGTGGTTCAAGTCCTGGACCCGGTGGATTAAACTCATGCCGGGCGCATGTGCATGCATGCCCAAGATCCCGAGAAGAGAAAGAAGGGATTTTGGCATGGCCATCCCCCCTGGGGGGAGATTTCTCGCTTTCTATCTCTCTTGTCTTTCTGGCGAGCGCACACACCCTATAGCAAAAACCTCTCAAAAAAAAAAAAAAAAAGAAAGAAAGAAAGAAAAGAAAAGAAACACTCCAGGCACGTAAACAAGCATGCCCAAAATCCTGAAAGGAGGGAGAAATGGAAGAGAAGAGGTTACAGAGTGATCATCCCCCTTGGGGGAGGGGAGAGGGCTTTCTCACTTTTTCCCTCCCTTTCACACTCTCTCTCTTTTTCCCTGTCTCTCTCCAGAGAGCACACATGCCCTCTGGAAAATTATGGGGGAAAAATGTAAAATATAAACAGTACCGTTTGAATTCTAGTAATCCTCAGAGATGAGATCATTTTAAAGATCTTACATGGTGTGGTCTCAGAGACTAGAACCCTTAGCCAGTGGTTTCTTGGTGTGGTCTTTGGACCCGCTCCTCAGACCCTCCCAGGGATCTGCAAGATTGAAACTATTTTCATCAAAATACTAAGATATTATCTGCCTCTTTTCCCTATTTTCTCATGAGTGTACAGTGGCATTCGTGACGTGCCATCACTAATACTCTGTTAAAGCCCCAACGGAGTGCGTGTGCTTACGTATTACTGGGTCTTCCAGAATTTTCTGAGGTAGTGATTTAGGGAACGCGTACGTATGTCGTCAGCTCAGGTTGTTGACAGTTCTGCTGTGTTCTCGTCGGCTGTCTTCCATTCTGCCTGCCTCAGTGTGAAGCCCATTTCTGAGAATCCACCTGGCTTCTTCTGAGTAAATGATAAAGACACTTTCAGAAATGCAAAGCTGGCATCATTCTTCACATTAACTTTTGTTTTGGAAAAAAAATAAGTTAATTAGGTTGTCATATAATGAGTCGATTATTTTTATATGAATTAAATGTCTCATTTGAAATTTCAGATTAAAAAAAACTCCTAATGATTTTCCATTTTTTAAGAGTGTGAAGAGGTCCTTGGGGGCCAAATGTTTGAGGACCATTGCTCTCAGTATTAGGTTATTGGAAAAGTCATGACGTGTTTTTCTGTTTTTTTCTATGTAAAAATATGTCATGACTTTTCCGATGACCCCATAGTTTCTGCTTTTCAGTTTCTCACGTTCTCTGGAGTCCTTGAATGCAATGAGGGATTCTTAAAAGGTCACCTTCTATTTATCTACCATTGATTCCAATTTATTTCAGAAAATTTCAAGGGCTTCCCCCCCATTCTAGTTTTAAACGCATTTGAATTAGCTAAGCTCAAAGTTAAAAAGTAGCTACCTATGGGAAAAGGTATAGATAGTTTAAGTTACTTGAACCTTGTTGCCTGTTTATTTCTTTTTAGAGGTTTTTACCTTAGAGCACATGTGCTCGCTGGAGAGAGAGAGAGACAGTGAGAGAAAAGGTGAGGAATCACCCTCCAAGGGGGATGGCCACATTACAGTCCCTTTTCCTCCATCATCTTCTCGGGACCTTGGGCACACACACACACACACGTGCTGTCATGATTTTCAAGCTACCGGGTCCAGGACTCAAACCACAGTTGGCCATGTGGGAGTCCAACAATGTATCCACTATGCCATCTGCGGGTCCCACCTAGTTAGTTCTGATACTGAGTAGAAATAAGAAATTCAAGTAATATGATCACTTAAAGTTGAATCTTTTTCTCTCTTTTTTTATAGTTAAGCAAAACTGGCTCTAAAGATGATGAGTAATGCTTGGAATTTGAGATGCGGAAAGATCGTCCTTTATGAAGTAAACTGGGTTCAAAATCTTTCATGGCTATTTTCTGGTACGGAGGTGACTTTTTATAAAACATATTTTTTTTGTATGTTTCTTACACAAATGATGTTGTGAGCTGCAAGTTCATGAAAAGATCTGATTGAATTAAATTATTTTCACAAACTTGCCTTAATAAAAGGTGAAAGTGTTACTATCGAATATACTTTATGAAGCTTGTTGAACTTTGTAGATGGGCAAATATGGGGAATACTTCATCAGTGTTGATTTATATGATCTTATTCTAGCGGATGTGATATTTTTTTAAGAGTCTAAAGCCCTTTTCGTACTGTTGTCCCAGTGGACTAAACCTTTGAGTGAACAGTTGTTTTTAGCATAATTCATCTTAATTGGCTTCTCATCTTAAATAAAGTCTTTATCCCTTCTTTCACTTAATTACTGAAGCATATATTGTTTCAGAGAAATTTCAGTACTAGTATTTGAACTTTATACATGATATTGTTTGTAGTTCCTTTTTATTTTTCAAGTATGAACTGTTTCCCTTTAATGAATTGATGGCTATTTATACGAGTCTCTTGATTTGGGCCAAGATATTTGATCATGACAGCTTTCAGTAATATGGGGAGTCGGAGAATATAAAGAGAAATTCACCAAATATATCAGAAAGCATTTGAATGAGAAGTGCTGGCTTTTATTGAAACTGTTTCTCTTTGCTAGGGTGGGAAGAAAAGATGCCTTACTATTTAATTTTTGTACTGTTGGATACAGCAATTTTAATAAATTTTTATTTATCTGCTGCTGTGTGTTAGTCATTAGGTAACTAATGTCTTCTCAATAACACGACTACATTTCAAGTCTTGTTTCTTTTCAGAGTATCTTCAAATATCCAGATGTATTTCTGAGTGAGCGTCTTTTTAATAAGAGACACATAGATGTCTTTCAAATGTTGACCTCTTGTACATGCTTGATTTAAAAAAAAAAAAAGGCTATTGGTATAGTTTTACTAGGGAAGCTGTTGGTGTTTCTGTATGATTGACAGTGATTGTATTCGTGTGCCGTAGCTTTAAGAACACTAAAAACTCCTGCTGCGTCTGTGAGGATGGCGACGGCTCATGACTTCCTCAAGTTATCCCTGTGCAGCTCAGACCTGAATTTTTAAAAAATAGTGAACTTTTCAAGAAGTTAAGTTAGGGACCAGCAATTAGTGTAATGGCTATGTCGCTGGACTCCCACGTAGTAGACCGCGGTTCACGTCCCGCATCCAGTGG